GAACAAGTGACAAAGTTCGGATTTTGAAAAGAAAGTATTATGACATTATTCAAACGAAGCCATCGTCATTAAAGATCTCAACTGTATTTTAAAGAGCCACCAAACCTTACACCCATCATCACAATTGCAAGTACAGATGCAGCAAGCATTATGCCTTACATCAACAATGAAATGCTTATGGATATTAAACAAATCTTAAAGACAGACCATTTTTTTGTTATTGTAGACCTGGATACCAAAGACAAATACACTATAGTAAGAGCAAATGACATATCAATAACCTTTTACTCTGAGCACAATAAGTGCATCAGTACCTATTAGTTATGATCGGAATTCTGGCAGTAGCAAAAAATAGTGTATATATATCATTTAATACAACAAACACCCCTAACCTTTCCTTGTCAAACTATATCAACTGAAAAGTCAAAATAGCATACAGTTATTTAGTAGATTGTATCAAAGCTATCCTGAGGTCAAAAGACATCAAACTGCAACTAAACAAACTAGATAGAGACCTAAACCTACAAGAAAATGACTTAGTAATATGCATAGACAACCTAATAGAAGCCAACAAATATACAACAGGTCCACAAATTAAAAATATGTGAGGGTATGACATTGTAACATGTATCAAAAGAGTGCAACAGATCTATAGGCTTACCGACATTATCAATAGCTCACTAGTCAAAAAAAGATGGCACACAACACTGCAAATAGAAACTATACAAAGCCTCATTCTCGCAAATAACCTACTAATCAGAAAAGACAAATATAACTTATCTTCTCTATTGGCATTCAGAAGCAAAATCCTAAGCAGCACTCTTTTAACAAGAAAGCTCTTGTATGAGAGATATCCAGACACATACCAAAATGACCTGTGCCCAAGATGCCTAACCTCATCAGAAATCCAAGAACATATATTTGAGTGCTACAAAAACAGTGAAACATATGAAAAATTAAGTCCAGAATGAAGTCCAAAATCAATAAACTGCTCAAAGAAACCGATAAGACAAAAATCAATATCAACTTCAACAGAAAGTCACAACCAGAAAAAATAGCATGTGGCATTACAGATCTCAAGGCCCAGTTATCAAAGAAAAAATTCACTAAAGTAACAAACAGCATCCTAAAACTCTTTTATACACTAATATGGATTCCCAGATCAGACACTGCAAATACATCAATAGCTTCAGGAATCAAATAGTCCAAATCACAAAACAACCTACAAAACAAAAAGGCCAAAGATTTGTCAATCACCACCACTGGGCTAGATCTGTTTCAGCTCATTATTTCTTCAACTGATGCACAGAACACTATCTCAAGCAATATACTCAAGTTACATGACTTAATCACAGCTCTGAAAGGGCGTTAACCATCCAGCACTAGAGCCAATCTAAATTACATCAAGTATAACGAAGATAGCAATAGTTAGCATCGTAGATAGATTAATATTAATTTGTACACATTCCTGTACAAAGATGTTTGATGTAACTTGTGTATCAATTTATATACTTAATAAATTTTGTATCTAATGCTCTTTTACAATTTAAAAAAAAAAAAAAAAAAATAGTTACCTTTGAAAAATTGAACTGTTGCAGTAAGTTTTGATAATTAAAATAATCTATAAGCAGTTAATCAATTTAAGTTTTTAACTGGCTAGGTGGCTTAAAAGATAATATGATATAGAATTTAGAAGTATTTTATTTATTAAAAATAAATACTACTCCAGTTTTATATATTTCAATTTCTTCTTAATTCTTATAATAACAAATAAAACAAATTAGCTTATATATAATAACAATACTAATAGAACTTTGACATATTAGTCTTAACTATGATATTGAAAATTAGATTCAAACAGAATTACATAAACTTGTATAAGATTTAAAACATTATTAAAAATAATAATAAGTAAAAAAAAATTCTTTTTGCTAATTTTCTTACCAATACAAAAAACAGATGTTTCAAAAAAATTTTTTATTTTCTTGTAATAAAATCTATACACTTTCTTTAACAACATTAATATCTAAAGGCTTTAGTCTTCTTTTTTTTATTTCTTTATCTCTTTGATATAAACTTCCTGTATTTCAATAAGTAAATACAAGAAAAACCTATCTACAAAGTCAAAAACAAGAACACTTTGTTAGGAAAAAAAATCTATAAAAAAACACTTTCCTTTTTTTCTCTAGAGGTTCAAGACTTTAGAAAAGATTATCATTGACTATTGGAACTCTTTTTCATCTTTCTTAAGTTTCTCTTATATCTTCTCAAATGTGTATACTTTTTTTTAGTTTTTCTGGAAAATTTTGCCTACCTTAGTTTGACCCTGAATTTTTAATTACATCAGAATTCTTAAATGATAATTGGCTCAAATTTTGAACTGGTTAATCTATATGTAACTTTCATGTGCCCTATCTTGCACAATACAAAATCTGATGATATTATTGAATATAATAAAAAGAGCAAGTGATGAAATGTCCTTTTTGTTAAGAAGTATTATAGTATTTCCTTCTCTCCTCTTGGACTGGTTTCTTATCTTTTCAAGATTAAAAAAAGTTTCATTTCAATTCAGTAACAGCTTTTTTTATTATTAATTATCCTGAAAATAGTTGAAAAAAAGAGTCTTGAAACTATCTATTGATTGAATAAAACTATAAATCATTGGAGATTTGGCTGAAAGAGAAATTGCCAATTGAAATATCAACTCTTTCTAAAGATTAAAAGTCTTTGAGTGTAAAGTTTCAAGAAATATTTTTCTGAAAATGTCCTTAAACATTTTTGATTAACAATGAAATAGTGAAAATTAAATGGTTTACTTAGCTGCAAGTGGTGATAAAGAATTTATCCCAATGAATCAAAGTTGATATTGGAGAATTTTTATTTATTAGAATAAACTTTTCAACTACTTTTTCAATTCCCTTTTATTTTCTTAAAAAATAAAATTTTTTTTACCTCTTAGGATGACAGGTTTGTATTAGGGTGACAATTTGAATATAGACTGGCTATAATTTTTCTCAAGACTAAGGAGCAGTCTTGGAAAAGAAGCAATTTTATCATTCTCCACAATTATACTTAGAGAGTTAAAATAACTTGTTAATAGGTTTTCTGCATTATATACAATTTAGCTCTAGTATATAGTCTTAGAATTTAATATATTATTGTTTTATTTTTATGAAAAATCAATAAACACAATAAATTGTAGTCTGATTAAAGACATAATAATAATAATAATAATAAGTTATAATCCATATATTAAATTTAATATAAATTTAAAAATTGAAAATCAAATTAAATTAAATCAAATTGTTAGAATTCTTAGTCTTAGTTATATTCTTTAAAGTAATATTAATAGTAACAAATCTATATAAAATAAAATTGATATAATTTAGTAATTTATAAAATTGTTTATAAATAATAATTTCTATAATATATAAAATACATATATAAATAAAATAATAAAGTATAAAAAAAAACTCTTTTTCATTTTTTCTCAAATACTTGAAAATTTTCTTTTAAAAAATTATTGAGTTGTTTATTTTTTTTCTTTTGCTTTTTCCTTTGCTCTTTTCTTTTTTCTATTCTTTTTCTTTATTTTTCTTATTCTTCTCTTTTATTCTATAAACTTTTTTTTCAACTTGTTTTCTTTCTTTTTATATTTTTTTTTCTCTTGCTGAAATTAAATTTTTTCTTTTTTTCAAAAAATTTTCTTTTTTATAATTTTCAGAAAAAGAATAAACAGTTTATTTTTTTTAAAAGATTGATATAGTTATAATTTATTAAAATATTATAAAAAGTCTATATTTTTTCTTATTCTTGAAAAACAACAATTAAAACTATAATAATAAAATATTAAAATTATATATATATATATTAATATTTTTTTTTAATTTTTTTCAATAAAATTATTATTATCTTATATTTTTCTCTTTTATATTTTTCTCTTTTGATTTCAATATTAAGACAAAGTTATAAAATTTATCTAAAATAATAATATTCAATTTTTATATTAATTTATTTAATATTGTTTGAAACAAAAACACATCGAATAAATTAAATTATTAAAAATTAAAAATTATTTTTATCAATAATTTTGAAGCCTGTCAAGAAATTAAAAATTTCAATATATAAATATTACTTCTTAACTACTTACAAATTTATATTCAAATATATACAGTTGAATTATTTAAATATGTTTTTAAGTATATATTAACTGCAATATTATATATACTCTACTGATAATAAGAATAATAAATTGCAGGCTTTATTCAATAATTTGAATTGCCTTTTATGTCTTTCTTATTATGATACAAGTTGTATAATGGACATATTGTCTTAGCAGTAATTCTGTAATAATCAACATTTTTACTACTGAATCATTATATACAGTAGATCAGGATATTGTTCCAATGCTTTATTATGAAAAATAACATGGTTATAAATTAGATTATGTTTTTCAGATAAGTTTGAGATTTGAATGGCACATTTACTTCTACTTTAGTAAATATTTCTTGAGTCATAATACAGATTATACATTTATTTAAGTTTCTAATAAAGCCTTTTCAAGATGAGCTATCCCAAAAATTTCAATTATATTATCTTCAGAAGATACTTCAGGTGTGATTTCAAGTGAAGGAGAATTAAAGATTTGGCTTTCTGAACCATGATTTGCGCAATGTATATTTGGATCTTGTAAGCCCAAATCCTGTAATCATTTTTTACAATTTCATTATAAATCAAGGTTCTTACTTTTTTCTCGCCAATTTTATTTTTACTATTCATTTCACCAACTTGAAATTCAAAATCCCTACCATAATTCTTTCTGATTAGCCTTCGAAGCTCGATCTTTTGTGCCTATGGATGTATTGCACAACTGAGCTAAATGTTGTGATATCTCATTAATGTTGAATTAATTAATAATACATTTCGCAGAACCATCCATACCCTCAAATTTTTCGGGACGGGCCGTCTCGGAAATTTCGATCTGTCCTGGTTTAATATTTTTTGATATAGAGTAATTTTGTGAACTCGGCTCTAAAGAAGTATTGAATAATTCTCTAACCAAAGATAGGCCTTGATCTCGAAGCTTCTTCTTCCTACTGCGTTGTTTTATCTCGCTACTGACTCTATCCTTACTTTTAAATTTTCCGACGATTTAGGCTCGGACGAGTATGTATGAACATTGGAAGAAATATCGGATGATGCTTCGTGGTCAATAGAATCTTCTAATACGTGTACGCTATCACTGTGTCTACTTCTGTTCCAATTTCGTGACTCTGTCTCTAAGCTCAGCATTTTTCAGCAATGAGATTACTGGTGTCTGTTTTATTTTTCTTTTCTAGCTCCTCGAATCTGTCTTGAGCTCAACATTTGCTTCTATAGCTCGTTTTAATTTCGTATTCTCGGCCTTGACCTCGGCATTCTCCTTTATTAATAACTTTTATATAAGGTGTAGATTTATTCAAAACCTTTTTATCGTGCAGACATGGAAGTTATTCGAAAAAATCCCAAGAAATTTTTTCTGAATTTTAATTAACTACGCGACTGAATTGTGACGTATGCTCTTATACATAATTACAAGTATCCTCTGAATTAGAATCACATTTTTTATCAATCCTGATCCGTGTGAAGAAAAATGCTAGAAAAATATTGCTTATAATATACGGGAAAAAATATACTTCATAGCCTTATATTGGCCTTGGTAAAAGCATTCACTGCTTTGCGATCTTTAATGACGATGGCTTCGTTTGAATAATGTCATAATACTTTCTTTTCAAAATCCGAACTTTGTCACTTGTTC